AAAAAAAAAAAATTAAATTTGACTTATACTATTCCATCTCTGAATTAATTTCCATTTCTAGAATTTTATATAAAAGGCATCATAATATATACCCTTCTTTTCCCCTCTGGCATTTTTTACCCAGTATAAATTATTTTGAGATTCATTCATGTTAGACTCACTAATTTTTAACATCTTGTTACATTTACACATATATATTATATAACACATATATGCATAGAATAAAATATGTGTGTTTATATGTAATAGTACTTCAAAAAGTTTATGGAAAAGTAGAATTAAAAGATAAGAATCTTTCCATGAACTTTTTGAAGTGCTCTCATAAATATGCATACCACATATTTTTTCCAAAACTATTTGAATGTAGTTGCATATATCATGCCCATTTCCCTCTTAATACTTAATGTGTAGTCCCTAAGAACAAAGATATCCTCTTAATAGAACCACAGTACAATGATCAAATTCAAGATATTTAACATTGATACACTATTTTTACTTAATATAGTACTTTAGTCTACACTCCATATCCCAGTTTTATCAGTACCCTTATAATGTCCTGGAAACAATACCTTACCTGATAAAGGATCCAATCCAGGATCATATATTACATTTAGTTGTCATTCTTTTTTTTTTTTAAAGATGACCGGTAAGGGGATCTTAACCCTTGACTTGGTGTTGTCAGCACCACGCTCAGCCAGTGAGCGAACCGGCCATCCGCATATGGGATCCGAACCCGTGGCCTTGGTGTTATCAGCACCGCACTCTCCCGAGTGAGCCACGGGCCGGCCCCTAGTTGTCATTCTTTTTAATCTTCTTTAATCTGGAATATTTCCTCAGCCTTTCTTTGTCTTTCATGACATTTACATTTTTGAAGAGTGCAGACCATTTACTATATATAGATTCAGGTTATGCATTTCTGGTTAGAGTAATCCATAAGCAATGTTATGTTCTTCTCAAGGTATCATATTTGTACTTACCATGGACTCTTTTTCCCCTTATTGATGATGTTAATTTTGGTCACTTGGTTAAAGTGGGTTCCCCCCCACTAAATAGTTACTAGTTTTCCTTTTGTAATTAATAAGTAATTTGTGGGGACTTTGAGACTATGTAAATATGTCCATATGGTTTTGAAAGCCTTTTTCAAAATAGCGAAGTGTTTAAGCATAATTTATTTGAAAATCCTCTTGAAACTGATCCTGGCTGATGACAAAAAATTGTTATCTTTGTAAATACAGTGCTAAGAGGGCTATAGGATAGTGTATATTCTACAGAGCAGAACGATAGAAACTAATACTCCCTTTATACAAACTGCTGGACATCCTTGTAAAATTGTCCTTAGTCATTTCCTTAATTTACAGTTGGATGATAGAAAAGAAGGACTCTTGACTCCCTTTCTGTGCTTATCGACTGTCCTTTACAGGTGGCAAAAGTTTGATGCTAGCAGATTTAAATCCTTTATACTGTTTTCACTGCAAGGAGTATTTTCTTTTAGGAAACTCAAGACAGTGAAGTTTTGGGCTAGTTTACAACATAGTATATTGGATGTAGCCCGATATACTATAAAAGTTTATTGAGACATACTTTAAGTAGGCTCCAGAGATTTCTCTCCTGATCTCTCAATTTTACTCTTTCTAGATGCATCCTTGGGGAACTGTTCACAAAGAAGCCTATTTTTCAAGCCAATCTGGAACTGGCTCAGCTAGAACTGATCAGGTACAGCTGTGCATGTGTTCTTGTGTGCCCAGGTGTGATAGATAATCTCATCCTTCAATTTCTAACACTTTTCAGTTATTCTGAATGATTTTATGCTCTTTAGGTCCAAGTAAGTTTCTCTTCCAGGTTTACTATATATTGTCGTGGCTGTATATATAAAGAAGTTGTATTCCATCTAATTTTTAGGTCCTACCTTGCATATTTTTTATTAGTTCTTCTTATAAAAGCATGCCATTTTCAGGATGGCTGTTTCATTCTTAGGTCAAATTAAGATTAAATTTATTCAGCAGACATTTATTGAACCTATTATGCAACAGATTACTTTATCTGTTAAACCGTAAGGATTTAGAGATAAGTGATAGGTCCCTTTTCAAAGAACTTAGAGTTTAGTAAGGTATAAAGCATGTAAATAGATTGTTATAAAATAAAACCTATGATAGAAGATTTGGAGAAGGTCTGGAGTTGGGGCGGAATTTGGGCTGGATGGTTTTTTGTTTTTTGTTTTTGTTTTTTCCTTTCCTATAAAATTAAAGGGAAGAATACAACAGGTTAATGTAGCTATTTTTTAAAGGTGATATATAACTCATTATTTCTTATGCAGTAAACTTTATCAAAATTTCTAGCCTTAGGCTATCTTCTTCCAGTTTTCTCTATAGGGACACTATAGGACCACCTCAGCCCTTTGAAATTAGTACTAACTGAACAGAACAAAATTGGTAATGAAAACCTGCATGGGGCATTAAAAACAATGTTTTCCAAAACCAAATATGTTGATCATTTTGGATTATTATGCCAGTATTTTCTCTTTGCTATTTTGTAACCAATTTTTCTGTCTTATTGTCTGTCCTTAAAGCAGTAAGGTCATATTTTACCTTTCTGCATGCCCTCTAATGTAATAAGCAAAGCTTACCCAGACCTCAAGAGGTAATAATTTCTGTTTCTAGAACCCCCAGAATTCATGATGCTGACTCACTCACTTACTTGCTCTTGCTTTTTGCTTTGTTTTCAGCCGACTCTGTGGTAGCCCTTGTCCAGCTGTGTGGCCTGATGTTATCAAGCTGCCCTACTTCAACACCATGAAACCGAAGAAGCAATATAGAAGGCGCCTGCGAGAAGAATTCTCTTTGTGAGTTTGGCAAAATTGTGTATCTCATCTTTGTGTCTGGCTGATGTAAGGACTTGACTTTTTTCCTGGCCTGTGGAGTTAGTGTTGTCCCAATTTATCATGGCAACACACCATAGGAAAACATTTTATTTGGAAACAGTATACGAGTTTTATCATAGCCCTTTTGTAGTTTTCTCTTCTGAAGTCTTTAGACTGTAGAAAACCATTTTATTTTGAATAATATATATATTTTCTCATAGTCTTTTTGATCTTCCCAGGGAAAAAAGAGAATGGAACTGTTGGCTTCATGTGGTTTTTTTTGTTTTTGTTTTTGTTTTACCTGTTTTGTAGCATTTCTTAAATCCTGTGTAGGAGCAAATCTGTTTGTTTGCATTAGCTAACTTCCAACTCCCTTTCCTCAGTTTTACATGGAACTGAAAATTCAGAAACCTTTTGACGCATGGTTACAGGCTTGAGAAGTGTGGAGTCATTGTGAACTTGTTTTTTCTGTTCCTTTCCACAGCATTCCTTCAGCAGCACTTGATTTATTGGACCACATGCTAACACTGGATCCTAGTAAGCGTTGCACAGCCGAACAGACCCTACAGAGTGACTTCCTAAAAGATGTTGAGCTCAGCAAAATGGCTCCTCCAGAGTAAGTGCTGGTGGCTGTGTAGTGACCGTAAATCTTCACCTAGGTCTCAGGAGATGAGAAATTCAAAATAATAGGTTTTAAAAAAAAGAACTGCAAATGGCCAAGTCCCAAATGGAGAGGTGTCTTTGAGTAGTATGGTTTATAAAGTTTGTTTTATTGTTTTTTTTGTTTTCTTCTTAAACAAGGAATAGACTTATCTGCAATATTTGTTGTAATATGACTCAAGCTATCCTCTCTTAGCCCCAGCATATTACCCTATACAACATCTTTGAAAGTATTCTGTGTAGTTTTTGTTCTTAACCATTCCATCTGCTTGAATCACCTACGTCTGTGGTAACCATGTGTATCTCTCACTTGTAAGGACAATTCTAATTTTAAATAGTTTTCATCATCAGGTCATCGAATTTTTTTTTTTTTTAAAAGATGACCGGTAAGGGGATCTTAACCCTTGACTTGGTGTTGTCAGCACCACGCTCAGCCAGTGAGCGAACCGGCCATCCCTATGTGGGATCCGAACCCGGGGCCTTGGTGTTATTAGCACCGCACTCTACCGAGTGAGCCACGGGCCGGCCCGGGTCATCGAATTTTGATGTAAAAAATATATGGTCTTTGAATGAGTCTCTCTTTCATCAGAATCTTATGAGTTTCCTATATTCTGTCAGATC